AAAGAAGCCAGAGGTGGTAACAGAGCAGAGCAGCAGCCAAGCATCCAGGTAAGGGGAGGAAGGGACCCAGGCCTCACCTCCACCAGCAAGGAAAGTGGGGGAAAGACAAGCCAGAGGTGATGAGGTGATGACAGAGCAGAGGAGCAGCCAAGCATCCAGGTAAGGGGAGGGAGGGACCCAGGCCCCACCCCCACCAACCCGGAAAGAGGGGGAGAAGTGGGAGCCAAGGACAAAGCAGACCACCAGACAGGCATTTAGGTAAGGGGGGGGGAGGGAGCCAGGCCCTACCCCTCCAGCAAGGAAAGTGGGGGAAAGAGAAACCAGAGGCGACAATAGAGTAGAGCGACGCAAGGGATACTGGTAAGGGGAGGGCGGAGAGGTTTTGAACAGCTAATTGAGACAAGCCTGTCTGTTAGTTTGTTGTACTATTGTAGCTTGTGTGTTGCTGTGAGGCTTGAGGCTGTGCTTGAGGTGTTTCAAGTGCCAGCAGGGTTGTACATGGTACACAGGTTTCAATCGAGCTTACAGACTGAGACAGACTAAGAAGAATTGGCCAGGGAAAACCTTATGAGTAACAGAGAAACACTGTCTGATACATTACTGTGCAACTTTTGTGAATAGCCTGGAAACATTATCCGATACAGTGCACAGAGACAAGTCCTTAGGTCAGAAGGCTTTCAAAATATGACTATGAATGAGCTACATCATCAGAGATCAGAGTAGGACCAACCTTACTGATATGGCTAAAGTAAAGCTTTCAGGACCTCCATTTGCTAACATGGCATGACTAAAATTGAGGAGAAACAGCTGCAAACATCCATTAATAATAGGAACATGGAATGTATGAATTATGAATCTAGGAAAATTGGAAGTTGTCAAAAATGGAATGCATAAAGATTTATATCCTAGGCATTAGTGAGCTGAAATGGACTGGTTTTGGCCATTTTGAATCAGACAACCATACGATCTACTATGCTGGGAATGACAATTTAAAGAGGAATGGCATGGCATTCATTATCACAAAGGATGTTTCAAGATCTATCCTGAAGAACAATGCTGTTGGTGATAGGGTAATATCCATATGCCTACAAGAAAGACCAGTTAATATGATTCTTACTCAAATTTATGTACCAACCACCAAAGCCAAAGATAAGAAAATTAAAGATTTTTATCAACTTCTGCAGTCTGAAATTGACCAAACATGCAATCAACATGTGTTAATTATCACTGGTGACTGGAATGCAAAAGTTAGAAACAAGAAGAATCACCAGTAGTTGGAACATTTGGCCTTGGTGAAAGAAATAATGCTGGAGATCGCATAATAGAATTTTGCAAGACCAAGGATTTACTCATTGCAAGTACCTTTTTTCAACAACACAAATGGCAGCTATACACATGGAGTTTGCCAGATGGAGTACACAAGAATCAGACTGACTACATCTGTGGCAAGAGGTGATGGAAAAGTTCAGTATCTTCAGCCAAAATAAGGCCAGGAGCTGATTGTGGAACAGACCATCAACTGCTCATATGCAAGTTCAACTTGAAGTTAAAAAGACAATTAAAACAAGTCCACGAGAGCCAAAATATGATCTTGAATATATCCCTCCTGAATTTAGAGACCATCTAAAGAACAGATTTGATGCATTAAACACCAATGACTGAAAACCATAAGAATTGTGGGATGACATCAAGAACATCATCCATGAAGACAGCAAGAGGTCATTAAAAAGACGAGGAAAGAAGAAAAGATCAAAATGGATGTCAGAAGAGACTCTGAAACTTGCCTTGAACGGAGAGCAGCTAAAACAAATGGAAGAAATGACAAGATAAAAGAGCTCAACAGAAGATTTCAAAG